ATTAACCTTCTCAAGAACGAAGCGGCAGCTTGTCTTCTGACGAGACTTCTTTTGTCATCGAAACAAAAATTGCCCCTCTTACAATCCTGAGAATGAGCTCATTCTGAGCAGGAATAAATATTCGGGCAAAGTTCATGTTCTAACGGTAATGTCCAGCAGAATTCACGCCACCGTACTTCCTCCAGAAAGGCGAATCCACCACTAAAGAAGCTTATTAGCATGTCTTACGTTCTCTAGGGCAATCGTGGATAAATAAACTGTGTAGCGAAAGGCCATACGTCCTTCAACAAAATAATGCACCGGCTCACACAAGCCGTTAGTTCAGGGTTGGCTGATTTGGCTATTTGAAAGTACAAGCATATTCTGGCTTCGTATGACCGCTGGCCAGCCCAGATCTGAACTCGTTGGATTACTATGCATGTGAGTGAGAGCCCATCAAATTTAGACAAAATAATTTCACTCGCTCACTTACTATATTAACTTCATTTTTGATTATTTGTATACACTACTTGTGTATGGGTTGTTATATAAGCGATTGTTATACCAACCTTCTTTTCGTCAGTGATCACGTGATTGGAGGGTAAGATCATCTGCAATAGGAACAATACGAGATACGTAACGTTAATGAAATGCGTAGTGAAGATGAAAACAAAAAAATGAAGCGACCTTGTGCGTTTAAGTCACGCGTGTCTGTGTACGGACACGAAGATCCTTCTTCTATTTCATGTCATCCATAGCAATCTAACATAACTCTATAATCTATAGTTTTCGCAAATGTATCATCCAGCTTTTTTTAAAGGATGAATAATACTTTTATACGTATTTAGTGGACTGTATTACACGAGTAGATCACAAAAATCCAAGTAGCTTCTTTTCCCTTTTCCCAGTCAAAGTTTATCTTGAAAAGGCTCTATGTATGTTCTTTAGTTTAGTGGCAATATTCCATGAAGACACAGTGTACAGCAATAATCTGTATTAAAAATAACAGCTTGTATTGATATTTATTATATGTACACCGTTACATCATTTACAGTGTAATATCATTGCTACATTGAAAAGCTACCCACTGTTAAAGAATTAACAGATTTTAATAAACAACAATGTAAATTAATGAATATATTAGGTTTTTTTTTACTCCTAAAATTTTGGCTTTTGTGACGCTGCGTCGTTCCGCCACAGTTTCCGCAACAGTCCGCCGACTGTTTAGTGCCCCCGAATATATAGTTTATAATCGCCTATAGTCCACAGATTTTAAGGCGGACGGTACAATTTGCAGGAAGCGCTTAGATGGAAACTCCCATCCGTCTCAGACATCGTTTTGTCGAGGGTATCATCAAATGACGCCGAAGAATCTTTTCGAAAGAGCGCGCTAGTCCATTGTACATATGTGATTGTCACGTGGGCGAACCAGGTTTCTATGTCGTCGACCCAACTGCCTTTCGTATTTGTCAATGTGTTATACAGTGTTCTTCTTAACCAACCTGTTTTCACCAAACATTTGCTGGCCCAGGACTAATGAGCACCAGTCCGCTAAAGCAGACACAGGTACAACGTAACATGCTACAACGAGGTCGTGTCCCTGCGTATTCCTTGTATGGCGACAATCGCTCCTTCCTGCGGTCGGCTAAATGTTTCCACCATTTGGTCATTTTCTGATCAACGAACATCAGAAAGAGGCGAAAGGCTTTTCTTTATGATATGATCGAAACAGACATCAAAAAAGCGAGACTACACTGGATTTGACGATGTGCATTGAAGCAAAGTCAACGGGAATTAGACAAACCCTGACCCTGTCATCCACGTCAATGACAACCTTGCCATCAACAGCGTCATCTAATCTCTATCCTTTGCTACTCATAGCAGTAGTTTTTACGCAGTAAACAGGAACCGTGTCACATCTATTCTCTTGCTATGGCATCAAGCCTCTACCTTAGCATCGTCTCGTTTGCCACCGGCCGTTTTCAATACCGTTGGCGTTGCTATTAGTCTTAGTATGAGTGTCGAATATCCTTTGTGGGAGTATGTGATAATATTACTGGACCATTACGCGCGAAGCTTCAGCTCGACAAGTCACGCAGGGAACAAGGATCGTTTTAAGTTTGTCCAAGCTTTTGACTTGTCCGAGTGTGAAAAGAGTCCCTCTTTTTTTTGCTTTGTTCCTTTCTCGTCTATGAATACTACACTCTTTCGGTGCAGTTCCTGTCGGCAAATCACTGTAGTCGGACTAACGATGGAGTGGATACGATAAAGAAAGAGAACGTGCCAAAACGAAAAAGGAGACCAATATCTTAGCAGCCTGAGGCTGCTTCAGACGGACTGAAAAATGCATGGATGAGAGACACAGCGGCGTATCAAGCCGACAACATCTGATCGTCAGTTGAACGAATTGCTGTCAACTCCAGCGCCCGCACGCGATCTCATTATGGTGAGGTCGTTCCGAGGATGATCTCCTTTATTCTCCCGCGATTGTTATCATAGACGTTTTCTATTGATCTTCCGTTCACGGCTCGTTTTTCTTGGCGTCAGACATTGGTGGCCGTGGACTCCACGGTCGATTGGTGACGGTCACTACGCTGCCGTCACCTGGAAAATTGCCGTAGCGTCCTAGAGGAACTCCGTAGCGATGGTGGAAGTAAGAAATGGTACTGGTAGTCGCATTGTCATCGCTGTCTCGTGGGGATATTCCATCAACCCCTCCTTTAACGAACACACGTATGCCATTATAAATGATGCGAATTGCAGACAAGTGGCCCAGAAGAACCAGAAAACAAGCCTGATAAAAACACAGAGGCGTACAGGAGGGCGACTTCTCGTGTGTTTCTGCGTGTATATGTGCGTATGTATGTTTGTGTTTGTCGAATGAAGAAATTTCTCTTTTTGCCTCCATTAAAAAATCTTCCCTAACTGTGTACACGCTCGGATTTTGCTCTTTTAATGATTCTACTCTGTTTGTACGCTTCATAGGCTGTAAATAACGAAGAAACAATTGATACTTTGTGTACCGATAGTACGAGGTCCACTTAACACATAAGACGCAATGCAATGCCATGTTATGCTATGCGTGTCTATGAATCGCTTATATAATCTGAAAAAGTATTATATCCTACACTCTGCGTTTATGATTTTCTTTGTAGCTAACTAGTTAACGGCGGAAAAGGGTGTTCCTTCTTTTTCTGTGTTCTGTTGTTTACTATTGGTCGCTCTCTATTCGTCCTATGTACTGCTGCCTCTAACATTGGTTTGAGCTAACTGGCCCAGTCTACCTATTTCCTTTCCTTTGACCGCGAGGCTTGCCATGATATGGGAACCGCACAGCATCTGTGTCCAGGCGCTTCCACATCATCCCTCATAGGAAAACAGACTTAATAAATGTGCAGAAGCACACTGACAATGCGCAAATTATCAGTCTAATCCGTGTTCCACCCGACAATTACCGGCAAAATTTTTCTGCTACCGGAAAGGGACCCACAGCGGGCCTCGTAGATCGTTTTTTGCTTCTCTACTTTCATCAATCTTTCATTTACGCTAGCATACTAACGCTACTAAGTTAGTCTTCGTCGTTCGAGTCGTTTCGCCTCGTTTAGGCGTCTTCATTGCGTTTCCTCGATACAGAAAACATTTCACTGGCTAAGTGGCAATAACAACCTCATGGACGTGTATATATATAGTGGGCTGCAGATTCCAACGAGTATCGTTTTTAACTTCTTAGCGTTTCTACCGGCAACAACAATGGGTGGTCAACAGCAAAAAAACGCTAAGCTTTTTGGCCATAGAAACGAATCCTCGTCGGTCGATGGTTACTGAAGAGGTTACTGAGATAAGGAAAATATTAGGGGAGCAAACGCACCGCACAATTTCGCTAAAATGGTCACGAAACCTACAGTTTTGTTGAATGGCGGGCGTCATTGAATCAACGAGGTGCAAGTACCGGTGGTTACGGTTGGAACAAACAAAATAGGTTCTAGACACCTCAGCCAATGCAAATATACGGGTGCCTTGACAAGCTGTGTTGCTATAGAATGGTAATTGACACGCTTTAGTGTTTTTCCTCGTTGTCGATGTCTGCGCTAGCGCGAACGTCGAGGATCGGGCTCAAAGCAGTGATAAGTCCGCGGCTAAGAGGGCCGCCACGGCAGAGCGACATGGTAGCGTTGCGCCAAGTTCAACGCACCCATTGGGGATTTTCTTTTGACGTTCTTTGGAGCGTGGCGACGGCGTGGGAGCTAGGCTACGAATGAAGATACGACTTTTGGAGAAGTTTTGCTGTGGCGACGTGCACGTCGTGTTGACGTTCACGTCATATACCCACAGGGGTTCTTACGTGCAAGATTATAGCGACAGCAACAAACCATAGTAACAGCATTAGCAGCAGCAGCAGCATAAGAACGGCAATAACAAGTGTGGCATAAGGGACATCATTAATAGGGCAGCCCTCAGAGATGTTTGCCTGGAGATTTCTTCTTCTTTATCTATAATAGCTGGATCTATGTTATTTTCTTGCTCTGCTCCATCATCTTTACGGGAAGCCGGAGGCCTGTTGAGGAAAGACACTTCATTCAAAAAATACGAAGTCATGCTTGCATGCATCACCCGATAGTAAAGCTGTCTCGAGATGAAGACAGGGTGAACGAGTTTCTGTAATTATAAAGCAACGATGAACGGCGTCGTTATCGAAATAGCTGCTGTCGCCACAGGGGACGACGAACAATGATATGTCTTCTAGCACGTCGGGTTGCTGATAGTACGGTTTACACATGAGCGACGTTGCATAATGACGCGCACCGCGTGGGAGAAGGTGCGATGGCTGAACCAGAATGCCTACTCGATACGCATGTAACAACGGTGACATTTTAGGCAAATGCCAGTGCGTGTCATAGGATATTCACGCTTCCTATGTGCCCCTCTATGGGAAAAAGCAACAGCAACTTTACCAGGATGAATCGTCAAAAAAAATTTGATTGTCTTCATCGCCTCAGTGTTTAAGTGAAGTTTCATGGATAACACAGCGAGTGAGTTACTGAGTTCCTTAGCTTTCTGGCGATAAGATATACGTGTGATACTAGGAGGTTATGATACAGATTTTCTACGAGAAACATTCATGTCGTACTGATAGTGAGCATGCCTGATCTAGTAAAAGTAGAAGTGAGCAAATACAGATAAAACTATTTACTGCTTTGTTACTATTATTGTTCATGCCACGACGGAGCTACATAAAGCCCGACGTTCTATATATTAGTGGATTATAACAGGTTTTAGGAATTTTCTATAGCCGTTTCGTTATAGCTTGTAGCATCTGGTCATGTAAATATGCGATCACTGAACGCTTCATTATTTCAAGCCAATAAAAACGAATTGACCCCCTATATTTTTTTCCTGTTTCCTACCCTTCGTTAAGACTTCGGACACACTGATAAAGCTAATCTATTTACCTGAGTACCATACCTGCATTAAATATTAAGCCTGGATCTTGCACGAATCTGTCGTACCCAGTGTTAACTCTAGCACTAATTGAATAAGGGCAATTATTAGTAACGTATGTGAAAGGGACGCACTTTGTACACGTACACTGTCTCGCGCAGTAAACAATAAC